GTTAATTTTTTGTTAATCACATACACGACCTGATATTGCTTTTGCGGTGAGTTTGGTAAGCCAGTTTATGCATTCACCCTACAAGAAACATCTTGAAGCAGTTTATCGGATTCTTAGATACTTGAAAAGTACACCAGGCAAGGGTTTACTCTTCCAGAAGACCACACAGCAGAACATAGAGGCATACACTGATGCAGATTGGGCAGGCTTAGTTATTGACAGGAGATCCACGTCAGGATACCGTACTTATTTATGGGGAAATTTGGTCACATGGCGAAGCAAGAAACAAAATGTGGTTGCATGGAGCAATGCTGAGGCATAATATAGGGCTATGGCTGACGGAGTTTGTGAGATACTATTAGGGATGCGCAAAAGAACCGGAACCGGAACCGTTTTTTCCGGTTCTCACGGTTCCGGTTCCGGTCCCGGTTCTTAATTTCGGAACCGTAAGTGTACGGTTCAGGTTCTAGCCTGTGGGAACCGGTAAGAACCGGAACCGTATATATATATATATATATATATAATTATATATTTAACTAATTATTCTAAACTAAAGGCCTACAAGCAGTCACGTGTAATCCACAAAACAAAACCCAATCCTCAATTCATCCAATCGCTTCCATCTGGACCATCTCTATTCTCTCGACTCTGAACTTGCCTTCCCTCTATTTTCGTTCTCGACTCTGAACTTGCCTTCCCTCTATTTTCGTTCTCAGATCTGAACTTCCCCCCCCCCCCCCCCCCCCCCCCCTCTCCCTCTCTCTCTCTCTCTGTGTCTGTGTGCAACTGCAAACTACAAAATCTACAAGAATCAGAAGTTCAAAACCCATATATTCCTTTATTTGTTTTCCCCAAAACAGTCTCAAATTTTAACAGCGAGGTTTGTGTAGTGCCGATACAATAATAGACAGATATATTTGTATAGTATTTGTTAGGGTTGAGAGAGCTATGAAGAGAGATAAAAGAGATGAGTCGGCGCCACCATTACCATTCCTTCCCTATGATCTGATATTCAACATACTCTCATGGTTACCCGTCAAGTCTATCTTACGATTCAAGTGTCTGCAAGTCATGGCACACTTTGTTCACTAACCCTGACTTTGTGAAGAAACATCTGAGTCAATCCCAAAACCACAAACTCATTGTTTCATGTGATTTCGACACTTTTTTTTGGGTAATATTTGAGAATCATGATCCAAGACCCATTCACAATATTAATTCTGAAATCAGGGGTTTAAAATTCAACATCTTAGGTTCCTGTGATGGCTTGGTATTATATGGAACTCGTGCTGGTGCTTCCAACAGGCTTTAATTGCTGAATCCTACAACTGAAAAATTCAATAGATTACCAGTTTTAATCAAAAGTTCAAAACCCAATATATAGATTTCAGATTGTTCAAAAAATCAAAACCCATATCTTTCAGTTCCCATCGCTGCTGTTCCAGTTTGGGTGCAAGCTTCAGCCGCTGGTTAACGGTTCTCATGGAACTGAACCGTTTCTACGGTTCGGTTCCAATCTATACGGTTCCGGTTCCGGTTCCGGTTCCGTTTTTTAGGAACCGTTGTGAACGGTTCCGGTTCCGGTTCCGACCGGAACCGTGAGAACCGGAACCATGTGCACCCCTAGATACTATGGTTGAAGAGAATTCTTGACGAGCTGCGGATGCCGATGAACATGCCAATGAAGTTGTATTGTGACAACAAAGCTGCCATAAGTATTGCACAAAATCCAGTACAACATGATTGCATGAAGCATGTGGAGATTGACAGACACTTCATAAAAGAGAAGATTGATAGTGGAGCTGTTTGCATGCCTTTTGTTCCTACTACTCAACAAATAGCCGATATCTTTACCAAAGGACTTTTCAGACCTAGTTTTGAGCTCTTTATAAGCAAGTTGGGCATGATAGATATCTACGCTCCAACTTAAGGGGGGGTGTCGGATTTCTAGGAAATAAATTAGGAAATTCTATTTTTGCAAATAAAATCTGAAATTACTATTTCGGATTTTAGTAGTTTCCGTTTCCTGTTTTCTAGCCTAGAGATTTGCTGATTTTGTGGCCTTCCTCTACTATTTATCTTGTAATTGTCTCTCTTGAAAGATATGAAGACCGATTATTTTTCTTCTTAAAAAACCTTCAAGTATTATACTCTGCTACATGAGGAGCAGAACTTTGAAAGAAGCAGGTTTTCTGAACTCTTTCCATACTCCTCATCATTCGATGGTCTTTCCCTTAGTGCTCCCATTGTGGCCTACATCAGTTCCTCAATTCCAACAGAATGCACTGGAGTAATAATATTTTTCTCTATTTTATATTTTTTATTTTTATTCAGTCAAATTGTTTATTAAGTGTTTGATCTCATTACATTGTTTGTAAAGTAGGTTCTATTGTTCATCTTCACACTAGTTCCCTTTATATTATACTTTGATTTATCTTGGATGAATAACTTGCAATAACGTTAATCTTTTTTCTTTTCTTTTTTTTTTTCCCCTTTATAGTTAGAACTGATGGACGAAGAATCCAAGTGTCAGAACTTAGAATTAATATCCAGGCCCTAGAGGATCTTGTTAATCCTGAACAAGAGGCTGCTGCTGAGGAAATTACTCAATACCAACTTGCAGATGAGCAAGTGATACATGAGAGAGATGTTATAAGTAACGAACTCCAAATTGACGAAGATAACCCTTACACATGTCCTCTGGGGTCACAAGAAGTAGTTTCTAAAGAAACATGTTAAGGTCAAGAGGAGGGAATGTATACACAAGTTCAAGGTAAGGTGAGTGAGACTCAAAACCAATCAGTTATATGGCGAGGAATATCCATGACTCAAAAACTTGCAACCATTCTTGAGGAAGTCACCCTTTTGCATCCTGAGACCTTTCAGTGTTTGGAGAAGAAGTTTCTGTTCTTCAAGCAATTTGTTTTTGAGTCTGTGGGTAAAATACTTCTCATTCTACGGCAGTTCCATCACAGAGCTGTTTCAGCATCTGAAGTTCAGTTTATTAAATCTATCATGGATGACTTGAAGGAAGCAAGTATTGAAATCGCATGGCTTGAAGACCAGTTACTTTTGGCTGAGATGAAGATGGCAAAGGAACAACTTGCTGTTAGAATGGAGAGGATTCAGAAGGATATAGCTGAGGTTGAGGAGCTGCCTACATGTCTGAAGGGGAAATATGCAACCGCGAGGGAGAGTTTTGATGCTATAAAGAATGTTGATGTAAATCAACTCGGTTCTGATTAACTGGAGCTTCTTGTTTGTGATGTCAAGATAATGACTTTGTTTGATCAGATGAAAGAACTCATTCTGTGTACGCTGCTAATATTTTCTGCGAAATATATTTTTCCCTGAAGCTACATCAGCATGTCTGGCTGAAGCCATTATTCCTAAAGAAGGTCTGTAGGTTCTTCATGTTAGATTAAAATAAGTTAAATTAATTTGTTTCTTACTAAAAAAACGAAAAAAAAGAAGAAAAAAAAAGTGTAATTCTTAAAAGTTGATATTTTCTGTCATGAGACTATCGAGCTATAATATTATAGATCTTATAGTTGTACATATGTTTTGATGTTCCTTTGCTATACTCAATTACAAGATGAGCTCCTTGCTATTGCTGGATTCTTGATTTTCTGAGTTTTTTTTTAATCTCAAAATTTCTGAAGTTCTGCATATTTATTGGTGCTTAATTATTTTCTATTGAAGTTGTTGTATTCGAGTAAGAGCAGTGCTATTTACACTTATGAAAGAGATCAAAATGTTTAGCCGAGGTGTTTGTGTCTATTTTAACATTACTTGTTGGGTTGCAAAATTTTCAGACGAACAGCTTGTGATTATCTTCTTCTGATCACTTTTTAATTTCTTTAATTTTTTTTTTTTTTTTAGAATTACAACAACCTGATTCATTCCCACACCCAAACCACCCAAATTGCGCCAAAACAAATCGACGAAATTGTGGTAATGGACCGGCTCACGGTTGTCAGAGGTAAAGGCATACCCTCTCTTTATTCATGGAATGCTAATTCTTCATCTTTTACTCTTCCTTTCATCAATTTGATTTTAGCAACTTCTCTGTTACATACATATGTGTGTGTATATATATATATATATATATATATATATATATATATATATGTATGTATGTATGTATAATGTTATAGAATCCAAATAGTGTTGCTCTCAATGGGGTTGCATGGTCTAGACTATATGCATTTAATATGCAAGCCAATACTATTAGTGGTGATTAATCCAAATAGTGTTGGAGCTATTGTTTTGCATTTTGGGTGGAAATTTAAAGTTGGGTTTGGGACTGGAACTCGTTGTTTGTTGCTAATCTGAGACCATAACAATCAACTATTTGCATCAAAAGCTTTACCAATTTAGGAATGCATCCAACAATGTATATAAGTTATCACAATGGAAACAACCTGATACGAGCTGCAAAAGCTTAATTAAGATGCAGTTCTATGCTTACCTAGAACCTGAGCTCACTTGAGACAGGTTTGAGCTCACTTGAAACTCAAATTGTATTATTTATGATAGATTAGTATAGAGGGATTCCTAAATTAAAATTTAGCAAAGTTTCAAGAAAATAAAAAATAGTTCACTTGCCAAAAAGATTTGTCATCTTGATAATATACTTTTATTTTTATTTTTTTGACCTGGCAATGTTTTGAACTTAGGAGCATAGGGTGGGGGGCACTTATGACCTGGCCCTTTACCACTCGAGCAACACCGCCACACCTCATCTTGATAATATACATACGAGGAATTTTTTCCCCCTCTTTGCAGCTGATAGAGAGAACCTGGGCAATTTATTCCTTGTATTACTGTGCAGTGGAAGACTTTTAACTTTGTGTGCTTAATCCTCGGATCAGGATCCTCTCCTTTGGAAGCTGGTGGGGTAATTCACTTGGGGTAAAAGCATCGAGGTTAAATAATATTTGGTTTATATACAATACAATATGTGATCCTCTTTCTTCCTTGATTTGACAGTCCCTTTTGAAATTTCAAAGACGCGCCTGTTTCAGAAAGCATTCAAATTCCACTTTTCTCTCTTCAGACAAATCAAACCTCTGAAACTAAAAAAATTACACCATTTTTCATCACTAAGCTCTTATTTAGGGTTTTGTACTAGAAACAAGAATAGCAAAACCAAGCAAGTGATTTAGGGTTCTATTCTTTAACTTCTATTGGGATCCTATATGATGTATGATAGAAAAGACCTCTCTCTCTATATTTTTCTGTATTGTGAAATTTTCGATCTATGTCCTCTCAATCTGTCATTATTTATTTGATCTGTAATTTCGTGGTTCTAAGCTTCAACGAGATCGATACAGATCGTTCAATCCTTAAGTTTTGAGGAGAATTGAAGCCCTAGGGTAGAAATTCAATTGCTTTGCGTCGTTTGGTGATTCTGAGATGGTGGGAGAAGGGCGTGAATTTGATAAATGGAGACTACTGGCTTTCGTTTCCGCGGTCGTCATTGGGATGCTTCAATCGACAACGAAGCTCTTTCGGTTCTATGGCCCTTCCACTGATTCTCAGCACTACTACTTCTTCGATAACTTTTATGCAAACGGTATGCGAACAATGATCATCCATTTTCACAAGCCTACGTGATATAAAAGAATAAATTGGTATTTGATTCAATTCTAGTGATTTCAGATTCACTCCGTCAGTTCCTTGCCATTGCCGTCAATGCCTCAAAGCAAGCTGGATAGGTAAAATCAAATTCAATACTCCAAAAATATGTTCTAAAAATTTTTCATTTTGAATTATAAACCCTAATTTATATTCTGAATTTAGAGATTTTAGGGTTCTTGAAGTTGAGTTGTGCACTGGGTCATTTTTTTTTTTTTCCTAGCTGCTTTATATTGTTAGATTTCTTGTTATTTTAATAAAATTAGGATCTTTTTTTTTTTGTAATTCTTTTCGTTTAAAATTATAAACTCTACTTTCTACTCTGGATTAGAGATTTTTTATGGTTTTTGAGCTTGTGTTGTGCACTTGGTGTTTTTTTTGTCCCTCTTAGCTCCTCTCTCTCTGTTGTGTCACTCTTCGAGTTTAGTGAGAAAAAAAGTGATGGGTTGGTTCCTCTTCCCTGGAAGATCAAAGTAAGAAAGCGAAGAAAAAGGCAGAGGAAGAAGCCCGAGGACAAGATCCCGTCAACTTCAGGTGTGCATTTATATATGACCAAAATATACACAAACGTACAAATTTCATTCACCGTAACAATTATAGTCCACTCTTACTGTGCTCATTCATACGGTCGTACCTGTTACTTATTTATCTTCTTTTCTGGGTTCATTTCCCACAGTTTATAGTTTATACAGGTAACATATTTGTGTATATATATTATATGATTTAATTTGATGAGGGTTATGAAAAAAATCTCGATAGGCTGGGCTAAGGCATAATAATAAAAGACCAGCTTACACATCTCTCCAATGACGGTCACTGGCATAGCGACATTATATGAGGGGAAAAAAATGAAGAAAACAAAATCTTTCCATTTTTAATTTTTTTGCACATCAAAATTGTATTGGGAATAGGTGAACTTGTATGTAAAGCGTTGTATTTGTTTCAATATTTCAATTTATCAGAACACTATAGAAAGAAAAAAATTTATTGAAGAAAGAATTTATAAAATGAGTTAAATATATATTATGTTCAAAAAATAGAAAAAAAATAATTATTTAATTGACAGTAAGAATGACCTACTTATGGTAGAATTAAGTTTGTTCATGCGGTGAGTGTTTTGGACCATTAACTTGTTCATGTGGTTTACTAAATTTCTTAAAACGTCAAATGGTTTTTGCAATCTGTTATTATTTTTATTATTATATATGGGTTATGGATAAATTTTATTATATTGAATAGTTTATTCGTATATATTTAAAAAAGTGTGGTATAAAAAAAAAGTTACTTTAGGTTGACAAATGATAAAAAAATAAAAAAAATAATTAAAAAAAAAACTTTAAAGGGCAAAATAGTTATATTAGGAGTGAAATAACTTTAATAAACGTTTTGCCAAACAGACAAAAAAAACTCTTCTAGGATTAAAAGCTCTTCTAAGATGCAGTTCCCAAACACTTACATATAAGCCAAATATAAGTGATTGCTTCTACTTCTCTTTTTCTTCTGTGTAAAAGTAGAAAAAGTAGAAGTAAAAGCTATACCAAATGGGACCTGTGTCTTGACTGATTCTCTTATGGGTTTCCTTTATTCCTTTTGGAGACAGCGTTGTTATGAATATATCCTTATAGGATGATAGGATGGATGTTGTTTGATCTCTTAACCATAGTTATTAACTTATAGGTCCTTTATATTGTTTTGATTTGTTAAATTAACTGGAGAACCCTATTTTACAAGCCCATTGGTCAGTGAAGCTAATCTAATTATTTAAATTAATAATAAGTGAAGATTCATGGATTAGTTCTTTTTTTTTTTGGTTTCAAGGAATTTTAGTTTTGTTGGGTTTGTTACTTTTTGGCTGCTCTATTGCCATGGCAAAATTAGCTTTTGCCAAAGCAAGTGCATTGTAGGCAATCCTAGAGGCTGCTTTTGCTGTTGTTCACTGCTTATCAATACCATTGGTTAATGAAGGTCATTTTTTAATTCAAAATTAATACCAAGTGAAAGTGTCATAAATAGTCTCATTTTATTTTGGTTGCAAGGGGTTATATTTATTTTAGTTGTTCTATGGGGTGTTCTAGTTTTAAACTTGCCATAGCAGTATTGGCTTTTGTCAAAGAAAATGCTTATATGGACAGTTGTTACCAAATGCTTTTACCATTGTTCATCGCTTTGGCAAAAGCCAATATTGTTTTTTCAAAAAAGACACCATATTTATAACTGAAGTGCATATTGTCTTAATAGTTTAGGCAAATTTTTTTATTAGAGTTCATTTAGTTATGAAATACTTTGATTTGTAACTGTCTATAATGAAACTTGATGACAGAAGCAAGGCAATTTTTTTTACATGTACTACTAGTTTCGTCAATGCTGATGGTCTTGTCTTATGGAAACATCCAAGCTAAAGTAGCTCTTAGATGTTTATTTTGTCCCTTATAATCCTCAAATTTGTGCTTTTTAACTGCATTTCACTTTTTTAAGTTCCAATCTTACTATGGTGCATTGGTTTGATTGCTTTAATTGATTGTTGATATTGTGCAGGGCATAGAAAAACATATGGCAAGTCAGTTTGAGAGGAGGTGCCTAAGGATTCAGACAGTTCAGGCTTTTCTTTTTCTAATGAGACTGCTAGTTCACATGAGGAGTTTGACAAGGATTAGACTGAGATTACTGATCCATCAGTCCAGCACAGGAAGAAGCATAGGTTCTTGCGCAATATAAAACCCAACAAAAGGACTAACATGAAACATATATAAATTTTTGTTATTTTGTATGTGTTTTCAATTAAGTGAATTGGGAAATATTTCTCTTACATCTTTTGGCAGCAATTAAGTGAACTAGGAAATATTTCATTGCATCATTCAGGAAAAGAGGAGTATTAGAAAGAATTTTTAGGGCTGAATTACATAATTTACTAATTATAAGAATTTGAAGCTATTTTAGAAAGCAGACAATTAGCCTCCCCAATTTTATCATGATAAAATCTAAGCACAAGAATGAGCCTTTTTGTTTTTTGGTCTTGAAGCACTAGCATTCTAATAATTAATGGTATAATTCATGTTTGACATTACTGGTTGTTGGTTGATAATTGCTATTTCTGTAGAATATAATAAGTGTTAATCATCACCATCATTACTTCTGTTACCAAGTATGACCATGATTAACTTTATTAAGTTGCGATTATGTCAGATCATAAAAAGATTATTAACTGTTTGTATATAAATTTAATGATGACATGATTTCCTATATTTATTAGACTATGAAGCAGCAATGCAGAATGAATTGGCAGGATATCCAGCAGGCTTGTTTAATAGTAGACTCTACCACCTGTTGCATCATATCCAGCAGGCTTGTATGGGTACATTTTTAATGTTTATTCTGAGTGTGGAGTATATTGATCTTATGATATATATATATATATATTAATTATAGTTGGCATGTGGTTACTTATTGATTTTGTTTCTCTGTTTTGACTTGATATGGATAATAGAACCTTCTTGGATTGATAAAAGCTTGTTCCGTCTAAGAAGAGAAAAATCAAGATACTACAAGATATCAGTGGAATAGTAAAATCATCAAGGTACATTTATTTATGAATTTGTGGAGATTTCTTTCTAATATTCCATTTCAATACAAGAAGTAAAATACTTTTATATGTTTTCATGTTTATGATGCCAATTGCCTTCCCAAATTTACTTTTACCTTTTTGATGATTCTATTCTAGGAATATAAATTATTGAATCGATGGCTAAACTAGTGTATGCAACACCCAAATCCATTTCGTTATTTTGCCTTACAACATTCTTTTTTCGGCATTCTTTCCACCCATTTTGGTTAATTGGTTCCTGAAAACATTTGGAAAAAGAAAAATAAAATTGTTTATGAAATGTTTGATTTGGTTGAAAGATGTGCTTGGAGTTTAATATTTTCGGATAAGAGAAGAATGCATTTTGGACTTGTAATTGGTCTCTTTTCTTGAAAGGTAGTTTTCTAAGACTCGAAAAATACACACTTCAAATGAAGTGGTTTTAGTCTGATGTAAAAATATATCGGTAGGGGAGCGTTCCGCCTAGAGGGACAATTAAAAAGGGGCGAAAGGATATTACAAAGTCTTATCCTGGCCCTGGAATTTCTCAGTCGGGTTATATGATGTTAGCTCTAGGTATGGGGTCTCATAATTGCCGGGATAATGGTCTACTTCTTCACATCCACCGTCCAATGCATGCAGTTATTGATAGACCAAAACGCGACGAGAATTGTCGCATTGTTTTGACAAAAGGTTTTGTTATCAAAAGTGACCAAAATGATCACCTTGATAAAGAATATATTTTTGGTGCCAAGAGACGAAAATGACCACTTCGTTAAAAGTGGGTTTGAAAGATGTCGAAAGTGACCATATGACCGTTTTGGTAGAAGACGGGTTTTAATGTGCCGATAACAACGAAAATGACCACCTTGTTAAAAGTGAGTTTTAAAGTGTTGAAATCGACGAAAAATGACCGTTTTGGTAAAAACAGGCATTTAAGTGTCGAAAGTGACGAAAATAACCACTTTTGTAGAAAAAACGACCATTTTGAAGAAGTTGGTTTTAAGGGTAGAAATGGTCAAAAACGACTAGAATGTCAGTTTTTGAAGGGAAATGGTCGGAAATGACCGGGATGATGATTTAAAGTGTGTTAAGTGTGAAAAACCAAACGATGGTGGTCCCGAAGCCGGAAAAGCTACCTGTGCTTCTCGTGAGGGAAGTCACTTTGGTTAGCTTCCGAAAGGTCGTAGAGGCTCCAAATGAACCACCTTTTTACGTGTATAATGTTCATTATAATGACGGTTTGACAAGAATGTCATTCTGCCGAAATAAACATGCGTGTGCTCGTGTGTGTGTGATGTAATGAATACAAAGACATGTAAAAATGGTTCGTGTTTGAAAGATGCCAAGAATGCCCATCTCTACGATTTTGGTTGGTAGACGTGTCGCATTCGGAAACCATTTCGCCACATTTCTACCCACCTCCATCGTAGAGACAAAGTATACACATCCCTACAATTTTAGTTTCTAGATGCATAATATGCAGAAACCATCCCACCACCATCTTAGAAACTACCCCTGTAGGGACGAGAGCTTCACCCACGTAACCATGAGCAAAATATAACAAAATATCGAAGTAAAGACGAGTAATCCAAGAAATGAAATGAGATAAGTTTAGAAATGATCTTTTTACCCCTTTTTGCTTTGACTACCTCCTTTGTTTGTGCTCTTCTTATCCTCTTTCAAGCCATGGTAGAGATTTGCAAGCATTGGAAGATTAAAGGCTCCTATCTGCAAGTGTAGAGAGAGAGAAGAGAAGAAAAAGTGTTGAATGTGTGTCTAGTAATGTATGAAAGTGTAGAGATTTGTGTGTGTATATGAGAAGATGTGTGTATAGAAATATGTGTAAAGAGAGAGGGAGAGAGATTTTAGAGAGAGAAATTTGCCTTATTGAATGTTAGTCTCTTCCTAAATGTGAAGAAAATGGGCCTTTTATTGAAAAAAGAGGGGCCAAATTGCAATTTTTGAAATCCAAAAGTTGTTCCAAGGGTGGAAAAAATTTGCTGAAAAGTGAAGAGGGACAAGTGGAGGATCGACCTTGAAATTCGTGAAGTTTTCACGCAACTCCCCACAGACCCTTTTTCACTTTTTCAAAGGGGAAATCCCCACTTTGCCCCTAGAAATTGCACAATTGACATTTTTCGAATTTCAAGCCATTTTTTTGGGATTTTTTACCTCAAGATGATGTCACACATGTGATGTCATGTATTTTGTCTCGTTGTGAGGTTTGGAAAATCTTTGCATAGATGTGAAGTGACTGAGTTGCCCCTGAGGGTGGAATTTTGGTCAAAAGGGCCCTGGACTAGAACATAGCCAATATTATAATGGTTTATGAGGTTTTTGAACCTTCTAAACACAATTGCAAAGCTCGTTTGTCCATTTGAATCTTCATTTGAAAAGTCAAACCCCTGAGTTGACTATTTGGCTCCTTAAAGATTTGGTCAAAGGTGGGCTCGAGCTGGAAGGTAGGCAATATTACAGTATTTTTAAGGTTTTTGGGCCTTTTAAGCACAATGGTGAGGTTTGTGGTTGAGTTTGACCATCAATGTGAAAAGTCAAAATTGGGTTTGACCATTCGGGCCCCTCCGAAGGGTCTGGTCAAGCTAAGTGATGGAGAAGGTTAGAGGTCCTAAGGAGGGATGTGCCCTAGGGTTCTTGGGTCTTCTGGACACAATAGTGGAATCTGTTTGTCATTCTGACAACCAGATTGATGGGTTGTAGTGTGAAATCCCAATTTTGCCCTTTTCAGGGAATTGGTGATCGAATACCGGGAAGTGTGTGATGTGATCAATCTAAGTGTTTCATGAGGTTTTGTGGTATTCTACGTGTGGTGGTGAAGTCCGATATCTAATCAGATAGTTAGATTTTTCAGTTTTCAGTTTTAGGCTGCATGTGAGCCCTACTTATAACCGGTCTCAGGAGATGGAAACGATGTTCCTTCTCAAAGTTCATGTGGTTAGTAATGTGAGGAAGGAGGGCAAAAATGGGGTGTTTACAACATATGATCACAAGTGAAGCATAAAATGATATTTGTTCATTTAAAACAAAAATACTATTATGACAAAGTAGTGGAATAACGGTATATATGATTAAAAAAAAAAGTCATTACAATAATGACTTAATTTCATTTTCTAAATCATTTCAAAGCAACTCTTAGTAAAGAAATTGGAAATGAATCAAAATTATATAATACTATTACTCAATAGATATATATAAATAAAATTCATATTTATATATAACCGTGTTCACGCCGTACTCGTGTCCTTGTCCATGCTACACAGTGAGCAAGTGATAGCTGTCCAATACAGTTCCAAGATACAACCCATATCCGCCGATCGTCTTCTCCAGGCACGTCCTAAGAGAGACAAAGTTGTACTTGTCTTGTCTTTAAAGTTGCCCCAAACACAATAGAAGATACTCTCATAGAATCAGGGAAGAAGGAGATAGAGAAATACTTTTTCTAAGAATAGTAGGCCCACAGCCTTACACAACTCTTACCCTAAAAAGCATCACACACAACTATATCTCTCCAAAAGGTGTACCACAAAGTATGGTAGAAAACTCTTTTTATAGGTTTATAACTTGTAACGTTTTATATCATCATCGATATAGTATTATAAAGATATAATGATGGGAATGAATAATAATAATAATAATAATAATAATTTAATAACATTAATAATTTATAATAATAATATTTTAGTAGTATTTATTATTTTTATTATATATCGTAGTAACATAAACAAGCGATCACTACTATATACTCCCTCTGTCACACAAAAAAAGGTCCCATTTTGAAAATCTTACTTTTTAAGAGGGTGATTAAAGTTTTTTTATATTTCCCTCCATCCCAAAATAAGTGTCCCTTTTTGGGATTCTTAACTTTTTAAGAGAATAATTTTTTTATCATTGTATTTGTAGTGAATGAATTACCAAATTTACCCTTAGTCGGTCCACAATGATGTGATGGTTTACTTTTTATAGGTTCAATGCAAGAAGGTTAAATTGGTTATATTACAAATAATAGTACATTGACTTTTCAAATGGAACACTTATTTTGGGACGGATAAAAATGGAAAGGTGGAGTCGGTGGACACTTATTTTGGGATGAAGGGAGTATAATGGTAGGGAATGAATTTCCAAATATACCCTTCTAAGGTGGGTCCACATGGGGTTTTATTTCTTTTATAACTTTATGGCAAGGAAGGTAAATTAGGAATATTAAAGAAATATTACATTGAATTTTTAATTGGGACAATTATTTTGGGTCAGCCAAAAATGGAAAGGTGGACATTTTTTGTGAGACGGAAAGAGTATATATATGTGTGTGTGGACAGTACTCAGTAGTGTTCAACTGCTCCCTGGTGAGTAGGGATTAGTAGACACACTTTTAACTATAGCCTTAGGATCAAATCCGACGAACTATAATTAATCAACCTTTATTTTCTCTATTTTAAGAAATTTACCCATTCTTTCTATTACTACTAAATATTATTAAGTTGAGATTACAAAACTAGACGCCTCATTAAAGGAAACAAAAATTAAACAATCTCTCATGTCACTGCACCTTGCCGGCTGTTTAACCATCGGAAGCTAATAAAAAATTCCTAGAGTTGCTGGTGTTGGCAGCAAGACAAGTCTCTTCTTCGCAACTTGCACGAAGTAAAATTATTCAAAAAGAGAAATATGTAATCCATTAGTTTCCTACATGAGTTCTTATGTGAACTTGAGGAAGGAAAATTTGGGTGTGATTGTTTATGCTCGTCTGGTTTCTAATGAAAATAAAAATAAGAAAAATTGGCCTCAATGAGTTCTAGTAGTTGCAAAAGACTGAGTTAAGTGGTGGTTTAGAAAAATTGGCCTCAATTACGTTTCAGAAATTTACATATCCCGTTCGTTTAAAGTTTGAATTCAACTTAACTAACAAAAATAAAAGCTTGAATTTTTCGTAGAAGTAGTTTTCTTTGCTTGATACAACATACAATTATTTTTTATATATATATTGTTTTTCCTAAATTACAACGTACAATTATAACTTGAGTCAATCTGAAATTTTATGTTTTGTTTGGATGCTGAGAGAGCGTAGGAAAATAAAAGAAATATGAAATGAAATGAAATGAAAATAAAGCAACTTTCTTGTCTCATAGTTTGTGCTCTAACAGTTTCAGTTTTGGAAAAGAAGAAGAAGAGGGATGATAAATTCACCATTTGTAATAAATTGAGTTGAAAGAAGGGTTTTAGTTTTCTAGTTTCATGCAACGTTTGATTGTTTCATGATCCTTTGACTTAAAATCATTCCTTTTATTAAAATCATTTATGAATGTGTTTTCTTGAGTTTCTTAATTTTAGAGGGACGGGAAGAAGTATCCAACCTACAAATTCTTTGATTTTTGTTTCTTTTAATGTCTGTCTAGTTTTGTAATCTCACCTTAATAATATTTAATGGTAATAAAAAGAATGGGTAAGTTTCTTAAAATAAAGAAAAGAAAGGTTGATTAACTAACGTCGGATTAGATCTTAAGGCTACAATTAGAAGTGAGTATACTATCACTGTTCACTAAGGAGCAGTTGAACACTACCGGTGGACTTGTCCTTTTTAGTTTAATTATGTATAGTTACCAAGTTTGAATTTAAAAAAAAAAATATAAAAGTCAATCATAGAAAGATAACATTTATAAGGGGACAACTAATTTGGGATATCAAAAAAGGAATAGTGGACAACTAAGCAACAACTAATCAATTTTTATATTGACATACATGTCACAGACTCACAGTATATGTAGACGACTCAGAGGACAAACCTAACCATTACCGCAGTAGCTACATAGTGAGAGGGACTATGGCGATGACGGATGATGATACCTCAGGTGCTATGACAGTTATGGCAGTGGTGGCCGGCTGTCCACCATTCAGAAGACACAAACCGTCCAAATCTTCGTCACCCACTTCCTCAGTCACCACAAATCCCCCCTTTGATAACCTAACCCATGAACTGTTCATAGAAATTCTCCAAAGACTTCCTCTCAAACTCATCCATCTCTGCAAGTGCGTTTCAAAACGCTGGTATGATTTGATCTCCACCCCTCATTTTACTCGATGTTATATCCAGAATTGTTCATCTTTGGTGCCTCCTTTTGCCCTGTTCTATCAGTGCATTGATGGTGCAGTCAAATTAACATCCGAATCACCCATTTTTCAATCTCGTGGGTTTTCTCTAAACTTCCTTCCGTCTTTGAATCCATCATCATCTTCATCGGATCAACATGAACCAGACCCAATTCGTTACTTAGCATCCAGCAATGGCTTGGTATTATGCTCTGCAACCTTGACTTTTCAGAGGGTTTACTATGTCTGCAACCCACTCACTATGCATTGGGTTGAGCTTCCTCCACCACCCACTTGCCAAAATTGGGTCATCATTGGATTTGTTTGCAAACCATCTCATTCTTTTGATAACACTAGCTGCACAACTAGCTTCAGAGTTGTTCGAATCCACAGATTCGAAAAACCAAATTACCCACCACCGCGTTCAGCCAATCTCAAATTGGATATATTTTCTTCAGACACATGGAAATGGACAGAGAGCATCATATCAACCCGGGGACGTAACTTTATTATGTCTAATGAAGTTTCTAATGCTGTGGTTTGCAACGGAATACTCCACTGGATGTACCTTTATAATGGCAAGATTTTCGCCTATGATCCATTCAACAACACGGATCAATTTCGTACAATAAGGCAGCCCAAGGAAAGATTTCCCCTATACTATGAATGTTTCTTAGGAGAGTGCCAAGGACACCTCAGGTTCATTCAATTTCATCGTTCCATTCTTGGCATTTGGGAACTGAAGGACAGCAATGGGCTTGAATGGTCCTTTGTGCACAACGTTGATCTGGACAGGATGAAATTAGATCATTGCCTCTTTGGTGTGTCAATTCTACCTCTTCATTCCACTGACCAAGACATTATATATCTTCATATTTATCCTCGTATTATGATCTGCAATGTGAGGAGCAGAACTTTGAATGTATGTTCTCTTGGCCCTATTTATAGACTACAGCATTCGATGGCCTTTCCCTTTGTGCTCCCATGGTGGCCCACATCAGTTCCTCAATTCCAAAGGAAAGCACTCAAGTAATAATATTCCCTCTCTTTGTTTATATTGTTTGTTTTTAATTCAGTTAAATTGTTTATGAAATGTTTGATCTAGTTACATTGTTTGTAAAGTGGATTCTGTTGTTCACTTCAACTTCACACTAACTCCCTCGGTATTATACTTCGATTTATCCTGTATGAATAATTTGCAATGATTGACTCTTTCACAGTTGTACATCAGATAGGATCTTGGGCTGACATGTATATGTTTCTGTCATTTTTTCTTATGCATGGAAATTAGCATTGAACCCAGTAACTAGGATATGAATTTTTAAGTAGTTTAATTGGTATTGGTAGCTATAGTGATATTGCAACAGATTTTTAACCGAAAAATAAGGTTAATCTTTTCTTTTTCTTTTTTCCTTTGGTTTCTATATTTAGAACCGATGGACGAAGCATCCAAGTGTCAGAACCTAGAATGAATATCCAGGCTCCAGAGGATCCTGTTAATTCTCAACAGGAGGCTGCTGCGGAGGAACCTACTTGAGACCAATTTGTAGATGAGCAAGTGGTCCATGAACTTGGTTCTAGGTATCTCTAGTTTCTTGTTCAGTTGTTTGTGATGTCAATATAATGACTTTGTTTGACCAAATGAAAGAACTCGATTTCTCTATGTTGCTAATATTTTCTGCGAGATCATGAAGGCCGTCCTACTAAAATTCTGCAAAATCATGAAGTTCATCCTAACGCAAATTGCCTCTCTGTATTTACATGAAGCTACATCAGCGTGCGTGGGTGAAGAAGCCATTATTCTTAAAAGAAGATCTCAAACTTTACTGTGTATCTAGAACATGTAATGTTGTTGACCATAAATTTTGTAAATGTTCTATGTTACAAATAGCCTCTGACCTTGAGTGGCATGTGTGGCCACCTTAGTTACTTGATGCGCTTTCTATGGATTAATCCGTTACTTCAAAATCTATGCATTTGGCTTTTTGAAAGGAAAAAGAACTTCTCATCACTTTTTTCTTTTCTTTTTTATTACTTTCCTGTGGTGAACCTTTTTTTTCTGGATATTTTAGGCAGTTTGGAAGAATTAATATATGGAAGCCTTTAAGGTATGATGTTAAAACATAGTTCCTTCATTGCGGTCTGGGACATGGAAAGGAATAAATTTTCATGACTATATAATGTTGTGCCTTGCAGGTTACAACATTAAAATTTGAATGATTTAGGAAACCTGGGGAGTGTGTGATAAGGACACAGGTTGTGTCGGGTCGCAGTGTGACGTCAGGATTGGGATATATATGCCTCAAGGTCATAAAATTTTAAACTAATTGCCCCCATGTGTCTGTTGATTGATTATAAGGTGCTTTAAGAGGTCCAATATTACTCATTGACAAGGAAAAAAAAAAATTTAAATAAATAAATAACAAAGGTTCTAAATTCTAATACACTAAAAATGTCCACATTTCCATTCTGGCTATTCCAAAATAATTGTCTCATTTTAAAATTCCATATACTAATTTTTTAATATTCTTAATTTACTGTCATTATCTTGTAATAATAAAAACAATTAAAGTTGTATGAACCAACCATAGAAGGGTATATTTGTAAATTCATTACCTTCAATTAAAAAAAAAAAAAAAACCTATCATCTTAAAAAGTTAAGTGGGGACAATTTTTTGAAGCATGTAATATAATTACGTACATAAAAAGAAATTAGTATTCCCTCTATCCCATATTAAATGTTTGGTTTTGAAAATTTTGACTTGCTACTACATTTTGTCTTTGAGTCATTTAAGATTATTTTTAGTCATATTCCTTTTATATACTATCTCCATTCCTTATTAAATATCCACTTCGAGAACTGTGAGTCAATTTTTTTGACCGTTCCAATTTAAATATCTCTTATGGAGAATATTAATTTTTAAGAAGACATGTTGTCTCCTTAAAAAGTTACTAATTTGTTCTTTTAAATTTTGAAATTTTAAACTCAAAAGATAAATTGTTTGAAATGGAGTGAGTATTAAATGGACCTCCACCACTTATTTTGGGACGAGTATTAGGTGGACCTCCACCTCGTCAATGTACTGATTTGGTGGTCGGCAGAAGACATGTTAAATTGTTAACTTTTCACACACTTTAAACCTCGGCACGTCTTTTGCTTGAGAGAAAAACTAAAGAACCTCTCGCGCCTTTTAACTTTTCCCTCTCGTATCATTTCCCAAAATCAAATTTAAAATTTTCTTTCTTCCCACCTTCCAAATTTCAACCCACATAATCAAATTTCTAAACGCTCACTCTCATTACTGGAGCAAAGTCTAACCGCAATAGCTACATGGTGAGAAGGACTAGGGCAATGAAGAAGGATGATGATGCGTCAGGTACTATGACAGTTAGGGCGGATATGGCGGCGGCGGTCGGCTCTCCACCTTGCAGAAGACACCAACCGTTCCAATCTTCATCACCATCTTCCTCCGTCGCCACAAATTCCCCCTTTGAGAAGCTATCCCACGAACTGTTCGTAGAAATTCTCCAAAGACTCCCTCTCAAACTCATCCATCTCTGCAAGTGCGTTTCAAAACGCTGGTATGATTTGATCTCCACTCCTCATTTTGCTCGATGTTATGTCCAGAATGTTCATCTTTGGCACCTCCTTTTGCCCTCTTCTACCAGTACAATGATCGTGCAGTCCATGAAGTCCAATTAACATCCGTATCACCCATTTTTGAATGTCGTGGGTTTTCTCTAAACTTCCTTCCATCTTCGAATCCATCATCATCATTGGAGGATCAACTTGAACCCGAGCCAGTTTGTTACTTAGCATCAAGCAATGGCTTAGTATTATGCTCTGCAACCTCAATTTTTCAAAGGGTTTACTATGTATGCAACCCCCTCACAATGCATTGGGTTGAGCTTCTTCCACACCCACTTGCCAAGAAAGTGTCATCATTGGATTTGTTTGCAAGCCATATTATTCTTTTGATGATACTACCTGCACAACTAACTTCAGAGTGGTTAGAGTCCACCGATTTGAGCCACCAAAACACCCACCACCAGGTTTGGCCACTCTCAAATTGGATATAATCTCTTCAGACACATGGAAATGGACAGAAATCATCTTATCAACCCGGGGGCGTAACTTTATTATGTCTCGTGACCTTTCTAACGCTGTGGTTTGCAATGGAATACTCCACTGGTTGTTTCTTTATAAAGGCAAGATCTTTGCCTATGATCCATTCAACAACACTGATCAATTTCGTATTATAAGGCAGCCAAAGGACAAATTTCCCACGGCCTGTGAGCGTCACTTGGGCATTATATCGACCATTATTGTTCCATTCTAAACATTTGGGAACTCAAGGACAACAATGGGCTTGAATGGTCCTTGGTGCACAATGTTGTTCTGGAGAGGATGGAACCGGATTATCCTCTCTTTCGTGTGAAAATACTACCTCTTCATTCCATTGATGGAGACGTTATATATCTATTTATTAGTAATTATCATTATAGTGGTATTCTACTCTGCAACATGAGGACTAGAACTTTGAAAAACGCATGTCCTAACTCTTTTTCTTTATCCTGGGTTCGGCATTCAATGGCCTTTCCCTTTGTGCTCCCATGGTGGCCTACATCAGTTCCTCAATTCCAACGGAATGCACTCAAGTAATAATATTCCTCTCTTTGTTTATCTAGTTTGTTTTTTATTCAGTCAAATTGTTTATGAAATGTATGATCTAGTTACATTGTTTGTAATGTAGGTTCCATAGTTCATCTTCACTGATTCCCTCTTTATTATACTTTGATTTATATTGGATGAATAAGTTGCAATGATCGACTCTTTTACTGTTCTACATCAGATAGGATCTCGGAATTATATGTATATATTTCTGTCAGTTTGTCATATGCCGGGAAATTAGCATTGAATCCAGTAACTTGGATATGAATATTTAATGTAGTATAATTATTATTGGCAGCTATAGTGACATTGCAACAGATTTTCTAACCCAAAATAATGTTAATCATTTCTTTTTTATTCTTCTTTGGTTTATATATTTAGAACCGATGGACAAGGCATCCAACTGTCAGAACCTAGAATTAATATCCAGTCCCAAGAAGATCATGATAATCCTCAACAGGAGGCTGCTGAGGAACCTACTCAAGACCAACTTGTAGATGAGCAAGTAGTCCACGAGGGAGATGTTAGAGGTAATGAACTCCAAATTGATGAAGATGACACTAGCGCATGTCTTCTGGGGTCACAAGAAGTAGTTTCTAAAGAAACCTGTCAAAATCAAGAGGAGGGAACGAGTACACAAGCTGAAGGCAAGGTCAGTCAGACCACCTTGGTACATATTTCATCCACGGCGACTCAAAGCCAATCAGTTATATGGCGAGGAATATCCTTGACTCAAGAACTTGCAACCATTCTTGAGGAAGTCTCCCTTTTGCATCCTGAGACCTTCCAGTGTTTGGAGAAGAAGTTTCTGTTCTTCAAGCAATTTGTTTTTGAGTCTGTGGGCAAAATACTTGTTATTCTACGTCAGTTCTGTTGCAGAGATGTTTCAGCATCTGAAATTCAGTTTATTAAATCTACCATGTATGACTTGAAGGAAGCAAATATTGAGATCGAATGGCTTGAAGGCCAGTTAAATTTGGCTGAGATGAAGATGGCAAAGGAACAACTTGCTGCTGGAATGGAGAGGATTCAGAAGGATATAGCTGAGGTTGAGGAGGTAGCTACACGTCTGAAAGGGGAATATGTGACCATGAAGGAGAATTTTGATGCTATAAGGGACGTTGATGTGACTCAACTTGGTTCTGGGTAATTTTAATTCTTGTTCAGTAGTTTGTGATGTCAAGATAATGACTTTGTTCGATCAAATGAAAGAACTCGATTTCCTGTATGCTGCTAATATTTTTCTTGAGAACAAGTTCTTTGGTTGCTTGCAATGTTTCACACTTCACCTGTTTGTAATGTGTGTTTTAGTTTCCGCTACTTAGCATTACTCGCCACAATATATCATTGAAATCAACTTATATTGTACATTAGAGGCACTTTCCTGAGTAGTGTTTAAATGATTTGCTTGGACCTTTGAAAAATATGAACCAAGAACTATGCACTATGAATTTAGAATAATATATTTTAATAATTTCAATATGGTCAGTTTGGCTATACCTGTGTAAAAATGTTCCTAATGTTAATTTGAGTGGAGACAAGTTCCTATTAATAATTAAACTCACTAGCAAAATCACTTGGATGACTCAGAAATTAATTTTAATCGTCTTTTAAAGGATAAATTGTGAAAAAACACCTAGAACTATTTATTTAAAACCGCTTTATGCTGATATATATGTGTATGGTGTGTGTGTGCGTGCGCGCGTATTTGTTGTTGAGGTTTTATATTGGTATATATATTATACTTAAAGCAAAATCACTTCCAAGTCATTTGGTCTCTCTTTTAAATTCTTTTTTTTTTTTTGCTCAATGATTCAATTGATTTATTAATATTTTTTTTTTGAGAAACACACTCACAAATTCACTTGTCCCGTAAGGCTTAAATTCTCGACCTTTTACTTTGGTGATTACATAGCAACTTTGCTCGTGGAATGTGAGAGTTTCTTTTCTTCGTTTTTTTTCTTCTAATTCGTACTCTTTAATGTTGTCGTACAGTCATCCAATTTTTGTTTGAAATCCTACCATTGTTTGGTCTCTGACTCCGTTAAAGGAGTTAAACTTGCTTTTATAACTTAGCCCTAGAATTTTCTTGTCACGGTTAATTAAAGCCAAAATAAAAAATCACAAAGAAGCCTTGGGAGAGTAGTCTCACAAGAGAATGAGGAAGGCGAGGGCTAAGGGAGGGAAAAATGGAGGGAAACATATTTTTTACTTCTCTTTTTTAAGAATCCTTTCTATAAGTTATTAGTTAATTATTCTTTTAAATGGGTGTCACTCTCATGTTCTGCACGCGCTCTTACTTCTAGGCTCTGCACGGGCTTCTACTTCCGTTCCCACTCTATATGACTTAGATTTTGCTGCTTATGCGCTCTAACTTGGCTTGATTTAGGTTATTAGCTAGATGTTATAATCACAAGAGGAGAGTTTAATAACAAGCCTCTCATCTCAAACCGTGAAAGCTTAAATATAGAATTTCTTTGAGACCTCCTCAAAGAAATTTTGCTACAATTGCGTAGTGCATGTGAAATGGGAGAACTGTATGTGTCTGTGGTGAATTATGGATTGTTCCAGATTTCTAATACCACCAACTCCTTGAAAAAAAAATATCTTCATGACTATTCATGCCCTTTTGCCTTTTTGTGATCTAATATGTATAACCTTGTGATCCATTTTGATTCGAATGACGGTACCAAATTTGCCTTGTTAATTAAATTAAAAGAACAATTTAGTTCTCTCTATTTTGTCAATTTTAAAGTTTATTTTTCACTATCGACTCAACTGACTTTGTGAAGTATGGACACGAATGCAATATGAATGATACAATATAACAAAATTTCAAAAATAAGATACCTTAAGAACACATCAACATATATCGTATTAACATATGCAAGTGTTTTGAAAAACACTTGTATGCTTTGATCTCCACTCCTCATTTTGCGCAATGTTATGTCCAGAATTGCTCGTCTTTGGTGCCTCCTTTTGCCCTCTTCTACCAGTACCAAGTTGCTGAAGGAACATTTTAAGGTCATGAGTACAAGGGCTCAGGGAGTCTCAGTCACATTATTGCGTCCTGAAATATTTCAGTGTGAATGGTAATTAAGTTTTTTTTTATCAATTTGTTTGACATTTTAACTTCTTTTTCTTTTACATGAATTTTGTCATGGGTGACTTGATGGAGGTAAATATTGAGATTAGATGACTTGAAGGACAGTTGCACTTGAAGATGAGGATGGCAAAGGAACATCTTGCTGATAGGATGGAGAGGATTCAGAATAATATTGCTAAGGTAGAGATGGCGGCTACAGGTCCGAAGGGTTGACACGACCGAAAGAGAATTTTGGTGTTATAAGGTTATATTTGGTACAATGGACAAGAAAAGAAATGATAACATTAGTTATGACAACAAAGAATGAAAAGGAGAAGATACTGTGAACCACTTGTAGGTTCTGTTTGGTTGTAAGGTGATGAAAGGAAAATAAAGGAAATGTAATAGAAGGAAATGAAATATCATGTTTGGCCATGCATCATTAAAAGAAAAGAAAGGAAATGGAGGGATTTGGAAGGATACAATTTAAGCATTTTGGGTTGGTTTTGTTATCCTTCCAAAAGTGGGAGGAAATGGAAGGAAAGGCAATAATTTTTAATGAAACTTTGTTAATACTAATTTTGCCCTTATTTTTATTGTAATGTTTATGTTTTGTTAATATAAGTAATATATATATATATATATATATATATATATATATATATATATATATTGTAAAAAGGTGAATTTTTTTTTGTTTAAGTGGTGGGACCCACTTTCCATTTAAATGATTTAGTGGCCAAGAGCCCATTTTGGCCTCACTTTTTCTCTCTCCCCGTAAAGCTCTCCATTCCTCTCCTTTCTTCTATTTTTCTTTTTCTTTTCTTCACAAATTTCAATCCTAGGTTACTTTCTCAATTTTGAGAATTTGTTGGTGCCGTTTGCGGCAAATTGAAGAGCTCTTGTGATCTTCACTTTGATAGGAGCAATTCACCATTTTGGCCAACCTTTGAATTTCGAATTTTGGGCTCATTTTGGGGTTTTTGCATCTAAGTGAGATAGGATTTCTAATTCACATTTTATTTGATTTTTTGTGAATTATTCTCCTTAATTTGTGTTATAGCATGCTCAATGTAACGACCTGGAGAGATACCAAAATAATAATAATAATAATAATAATATATAAAATTTTGACATGACCTCCGCAAAAAAAATTCCTCTACAACATGTTGAAATACATAAAATACAATGGCCTCACTTGGCCTTAAAATTAATCTATCTTGTCCCAACACACAATGCAAATAATATACCACATTTCCGAAATAACTACATACATATAAAAAGGTCCCGTTCCTCCATCACATCCAAACAAGGAATCACCAATTCACTACCTAATCCAATAATCCTTTACAAGAAACGTACTTTAATTACATCAAGTTACAGTCCATGATATATAACTAAAATTTGAAAGTCCATAACTTACAACATTATACTAATTAAACTAAAATTTTATTAAATAGTTTAAGATTACATTTACAAAATATTAAAGTTATAATACAAAAGATATCAAAATAAGTAGATCTCCAAATCCAATCTAAACTTATGGTGGATCGTTGTCCGCCACCTCTTTTTTGTGAACTAAAAATGTTAATATAAAGGGATGAACAAATTGCCCAGTAGGTGGTGCCTAAGACATACCTCTTGTGACCCCGTGAATCCAAACAATGAATAGGAATAAGAGAAAGCGGGATCATGTCATGCTGGGAAAAATACAACACAATTTTAAGGTCATAAATAAACAATGTCGTGCCATGAAATGCAATGCCATGCTATGTCGCTCCCCATTTAAAAATCATTTTCATTCATTATTTTTCAAACCGTTAATATAACCCGTCCCATGACAACTCCATGGTGGCACTGGAGAAGGATTGGTCACTGTCCCTGACCCATGGTAACCCCGTGGCGTCATTTGGGGCCCAAATAACTCAACCACGCCAGGACGATCTCCCTAATTCCCTCTAGGTCACATTAACGCCACAGACTCTAGACAACTCCTAGGCGCCCGGGTTTTCGCAAACCCTCTTTTTGTCAACTTTTTTTTTTTTTTTTTCCAAAAACCTCTTCTTTTTTCTTCCAAAAACCTCTTTTTTTCCATTTCAAAACAACTTTCCCATTTTCCTTACCCAATGATATACATAAATGCATCATGTTATTCCATGTCATGTCAATATTAATTTCCACATATTTTATACATATACATCATTCTTGCATACTAAAAAAAAAAACAATTAACTTAAAAGCTTCAAAAAATGAAGTTCAAATTCATAACATATGACATTCTAGGCATATAGGAAATTTAAACTTAACATGTTTTTTCATATAGTTCAAATTAAACATGTTCATAGCATTAATTTCTCACAGAAGAATACAATTAACATGTTTATTACACATAATCATATAACCACAAACAAAATCATTTACTTAAGACATGGTGGAGTCAAATTATAAAGAAATAATTCATCGAAATCAAAGATTGCATGCATTAGAGACCCCTATCTCCAATAATGCAAAAAGTCCCAAAATATAGCCCTAAATTCAAAAATTCAATGGTTGGCTAAATGGTGTTTGGCTCCTATCAAATTGAGGGCCTCGACGAGCTCTTCGACTTTGCTTTAAGAAGTGCTATCAAAATCCCAATAGTGTGGCTTTAATCTAAGCTTTTATGAAAGGAAAATAAACAGAAAAAAATGAAGGCAGGAAATGAGAGAGGGAAAAGCCACGTAGAGAGAGAGGGAGCTGATTGAAAAAATGGGTCAGTAAATGACCCTTGGTCACATATGATAGTAAATGATAAGGGTGGGTCCCACCAACTTTTACAAAATATCTTCTTTAATTAACATTATATACACACACACACACACACACACACACACACACACACACACTACTCACTTTACAATTACAAAATAAACATACAACCAGTTAGATGAGCACAAAATAATGATGCATGAATGCAATGGACACGAAAAATAATATCCGTGTTCAACATTCCGGTAGCGGGTCCCACTGGCAACCGATACATTTCCAAGAATCTTGAACTCAAGGAAACGTCCCAATCAACATTTTGATACACCCGACACACCCTACGGTATTTGGCACGCAAAACGAGACAATGACGAAAATAATCCAGAAAATCGGAGAATCGCAGAAAATGAAAAATAAGAAGAAAAAAAAATGAAAACATTGCACTCAATTTGTGTAGATTTCTTGTAAAGTTGCTTTAATGTTGTATATGAAATATGTGATTGTGTATTATTTAGTATTTGAAGGTTAAACATGCTTA